CACTGAGTACCTACAGATAAGCCAGTGTGACTCAAGGACTACTCCATTACAAAAAGCCCCTAAAACTGTGTAGTTGTCAAGGTACTGATGATGACCATGAGCACACTTGCTGGATGTGTGCATAATGCTGGTAGGTTTTTTTTTGCTGTCTGAGTTACTATATTAGACACGTGCACCAAAGAGCCTGAATGCCTATAGAAACAGCTGGGAGTACAAAGAACAAGTAATAGCTCTTATGTGATCATCTACTACACTGCAGACCAACTCATGGAGTCATGACCGTTCACTGCAGCCTGGGGTGGTGCTGGAGATGCCAGCTTGCTGCTGAGACAAGGCTCTGTCCCTGAAAGAGAATGTTTAGTCAGTCAGACAGGATTAAAAATAGGCAGCATGTAAAAGAGCACATGTAGAGGAGGCCAGTATCAGGGATATTGATATTTCTATTTTTCATGCATGTATTTTGAAGATGAGTATTTAGCACATCAGTATTCTTCTGATGGCTTTTCCCTTGCGAGGTATCCTCAGAGAAACATAAACATCGTTCTGCAACATTGGTGGAATTTTTTGAATTCTTGGTTTATATAAACTTTTCCCCCTTTCTATGAAAAATCTCTTTGATAACTATTATAAGTAGAGGGATGGAAAAGTTTGAGGCTGTTATGATTAGTCCCTGTTACACAAGACATTTTGTAATAAAGGTGTACTTTGGATGATCTGAAGATTTATGCTAAAGAAAACTTCTCCATTCCACCTGATACACGATATTGTCCTTCTTGTGTTTGTCCGTTCTTGCATCACCTTATTCCATAGCAAAGGTATTATATATACTAGATATCAAACATGCTTTCTGTTTTTATCATGGTACCTTCACAAAGAGACCCGTCTCTATTTCATCTTTGCTAAACACTGTCTTTGAGATTTCTTCAACTGCCACTGGGAGTAATGTCAACAGCTTCCTAAATGTTCCCATATCCAGAGGGCATGTTTCTCAGCAGCAGATTAGCTTTCTGGATGATCCTTCCATAGAATTTAATGTCCCTTCCCCGGATAAGGCAAGTGAACTTAGTTATCCTAGAGCCATAAGAATTTTGCTCAAAACTTCCCACAGTTTTTATAAGTCTGTGCAAATGACCCTAAAGGAGAAAGAAATTACTTGGCACCACCCGTCTTCCCCTACCTCAAATTCCACCACTTCTGTTGGATTGCTAGGGTAAATGTCAGGGTTGATAAGAATCAGGAACATGTTGCACATTCCCTCATACCGCATGCTTCATACCCATAGAGCACTGGATTGACACCCCTAATGTGTGTTGGGAGGATCATGCCTGCTGACATGATAGCTGTGACATAACTTCCCATAAAACTGAAGCTGGATTATTGTAATTCTCTTTCCATTCCTACATTATTATCAGTCTTCCATTCATAAAATAGCAGTTTGATGAGCCATAGGTCTGAGCTCTTGCTCTATCTGTTCTTAGTGTTCTTCTTCTGATAAGGTATTTATGTTTGCAGGTTTTTGGAGGTCTGACTGGGACATTCTGACTAAGCTGAGAATTATTCTTCAGTACTCTGTGTTCTCCGTATTCCTGTGTGACTGGATTCCAGATGAAATTAATTTTACTGGAGTATAGAGGTCTAAAGGACTCCTTGTCCAGTTAGATTCAAAATATCAGCCTATACTTCACATATACCCTGTGAATAGAGTTTCCACAAAGAATCAAAATTTACAAGGCAGTCAAGGTTTTGTTGGACTGCTGTTATGATGGCAAAGTATTTTTTTCTTGAAAACCCGTCCATTGTATCTCTGCATCTCGTCAAAAATCAAGAAAATGTGGTCACTTGTTTGGAGACTGACACTGGAGAAATATGTGTTTACTTAGTGGGACATTTTACCAACATTAGATACTACTAATGCTCCGGTTTAAGGCTTGCACAGTGACCTGTAAATTCACAAATGACAAATCATGTCTTACTCCCTGTCACACCGACAGCTACAGCGTGTTCCATTTAACAGTGAAAAATAAGAACATTAAGATGGCAGCATATTTTATTTGACAGCTTATATAGTCTGGAGCTTGCTTCTGTTTCACAGAATTGCATAGCTTGAACTTGATGAAATTAGAAACCTTCTGTGAAAGATTTGTTAACAATGATTCCATCAATAGAGGTGGAATGGGAATAGCAAGATAATAGGAAGTATTTCTTTTTAAGTAATCGAATTATAATTTCTGCCAAAATGTTGATGCAAGGTTTGGATTTGTCTTGGGTTTTAAGCTATTTCCCATGTAAATAAATATGCCAGGTCTGGGGAGGGCTGGAATAGCTAAGTCGGTGCAGAAACTAGACAGAGACTTTTAAAAGAAAAGGAAAAACAGTCGTGGGAATTTGGTACACTCACCTCTTGGTTGCAGAAGCAGCAAGAGCATAAGAAGGATGATAAACAGAAGAACTGAATTTGACGTCTCCTCCACACACAGCAAGGAAATACATTGTCTGTGCAAGATGCATGCCTAGTGTGTCTGTATTACTTTGTATAGTGTTCCTCGTATTCTTTGTCTGGCTAGAAATGAGTGAGGCAGACAGCTCACAGCTCAGGGACTATAAGGTTGACATTGCTGTCTTGGTGAGGAGGAGTTTCTGGTGAACCTGGAAAGGAACTGACAGGCTTCCAGCCTCTGCATGCTCTGGAGAGTCAAGGTGACATGGTAGAGCAAAGGAGAAACTGCCTCAATGAAAAGATTGTGAAGAATTTCTCTCCATGTTTCTGCTAATGTACAAGTCTATATAATTTGAAAGCTTGCACACAGTATGTGTAACTGCAGAAAATGAAGAAGCCTGGACACATTACATTAGTACAGACTGTTGCATCTAGTTCTGATTAAAAAGATTCAGTAATATTTCCTTTTTTAGGTATATATGTAGTGGTGCCAGGAAAGGGGGTGTGCTAAGAACAATTCTTCAGCACCCTCCTGTTGTAATCTGCATGGTTATTCTTTTAGGGCTGGATACAACTATCTTCCTGGAGGTGGGAGAGTAGAATTTCAAATGAAAGAAGTCCTCTGATGCCCCTTTTTGGTCCACCCCACAATGCACTTTTCATATCCATGATTTTGCTTTTTCTGTATGTGCTGCCCTTCCGGAATTTCACATGAAGTCATTGCCTTTTGTAAGGGGATAGCCTACTAAAAATAAACTGTAGGCAGAGTCTGCAGCCCTGCAAATATGAGGTGTGGGCACTGTTTTGAGAAAACCATGCACTGTAATTTTCCCTACTGATTTCTGTCATCCAAAGGGAAGTTGGAAGGTTTCCACCACTTCAAAGGGAGAGCCAATGAAAGACTTTTTCCAGTTAATGCTTCTCAAACCTCGGTTCCTGTATGACAGAAGAGGGCTTCCACATGAACTGGACCAAAAGCCATCATCTGCTGCTCTTAAGCATCAGAGAAGGGGGAAAGAGATACAGAGTTCAGGGACCAGAAAACAACACAAAACTTGCAAGCCATTACGAAGGGCACACTTCTGGTGTGTAATGATATGTGGTGAACCTGGGAGTCTCAAGGAGAATGGAAAACATGGATTTGTTCATGCCTTCATGCTAGGAAATAAAGGAATTCATTCTAGTGCTCCAGGGCTGTTTTTTGTCAGGCTGGCTGCAGAGGTGAAGGGAATGGTATTGAATTAATTGAAGCAGTTTGTGTGTGGAGAGCAGAACTAATTAGAACTTTGTAGGGATGCAAGTATAGGTGGAAAATCATGTGTGTTTAGGGAGCAGAATCAATTAGGAACCTGCATTGGAGAGACTGGGGTATTGTCCAGTTATAAGATTACTTGATTAGGAAAACTCTTCGGTGCTTTGGGGGAATGGAAATTCTGGTTTTTAGGTTATAGGGAGGCTGAACGGGATGAAGTAGATAGAGCAGAAAAAAAAAAAAAAGAACTGAGAGGAAACCTATCCTTTAGTCATCTCACCTGCCTCCATCTCAAATTCATTCTCCCCTCCAAGGTTTCTCATCCTTATTCCATCCTTAATGCAAAGGCATTTGAAAATGACATAAGCAGTGGGCCAATGCCAGAGGGTTGTCTTCCCCTACTGAAGGAGACTATATGAAAAGTTTCACCCCGTTCCTGAGATTGCTAATTCAACCATTTCCAAATCAAAATTGCTGTGCAAATTTGAATGTGTCAGGGAGACTTGATGGTAGCAAGTATAGATTCTGTTTATATACACTCTTCCATATATGTTTCTTTATATAGCAATAGTTTGAACTTTGTGGCACATGTTATGCAGTAAATTTGTTTTAATTGTGTTTTTATCAATGTGTTGACAAGGCCCTCTGGCCCTGTCTGAGGAACACAGTTGCTGTAATAGGCTGAGGTTTCAAATTTTGCAATGTAAAACAACCTGTGAGTAACTGCATAAAGAGAAGATTGAGGATTAATGTTCTCTCAGAATGAGAGAGAAAAGGAAACACTCATGTCAAATGGGAAGCAAGCAACACCAGGTGGTTTATGTTATGCGTTGATAGTATTTTTCTCTCAGGTTAAGAGCCCTAACTACTGGGCTCTTCAAATCCCAGGAGGTTTCCTTGGCAAAACCTCTAGGCTTTTTAAGCCTGATTTATATGTACATATGCACATTTTAAATACACTTTTTCGCTACTTAAAAGAGAAAAAAAGGAAAGAAAAAAGGAAGAAAGAAAAAGAAAAATGATGAGCCTTTCTCCAGATTTTAGCAGCCTGTGAGCCTCACCGCTCAGGTGGGCACATGCTGCTTGGCCTCTCTCCCCTTTCCTGTGGAGTATCTGATGACTTCCATTTGTTCCCGTCCCTGTTACATTTCCTGAGCTCATTTACAGCTGTCTTCATTATTCGCAGCTCTGAACTGATGAAAGGAGAACAGAAAACAAGTGTTTTATCTATATGTTAATGGTGAGAAGGTTTCAGGAGGGGAGGTGGGCAGGAGAGCTGTGGAGGTGGTGACCCTTGCTGTTGCCTTGCAGGAATGTCAGCTCTGCTGGAGAGGAGGCCCGCAGAAGAATGAGAGAGTGTGATGGCCTGACGGATGCATTGCTGTATGTGATCCAGTCTGCTCTGGGGAGCAGTGAAATTGATAGTAAGGTTTGTCATCTTTATCTTTTCAAGTGCAAGGGATCCAGGTATTCAGGGTATATCAGGACTATAAAGTGACAGGTTGTTTTATAAAAAAATGTGTTGTGAGGGAGATGCTTTAGCAAAGCATAATTTAGCCAATCATTTTCTTCTGTTGAGCTGTGTTTTTTTGTGTGCTGAGTATTGGATCTGTGTCTGCCTGTGTTGCATGCACAGGTAAGCATGTCATCCTCTCACTTCTAAGGGAGAACAGAGGCTACTTATTTAAGAAGAGCAAATATGTCATATTCCATGTAAAGTTCCTTATGTTGCTCTGCCAGGTTCACCTTAAAATGGATTTTTCAGTACAAACTGAGAGACAGAGCTAATAACAGTGATGTAGGCTCACAGAACAAACCAACAGTTAATGGCCTGTTTGGCATTACAGACAACATTTTTTTTTTTTTTAAGAGGATTAATTAATGCCTTCAGTAACAACTGTTTTAAGATGTATTTTTGTGTCAACTTTATTTCTCTGACAGTACTAGGATAGGGACAGGCTTTTCCAAAGGTAAAAGGTACTGACTAATGAAAAAGACTTCAAGCATTTACAGCTGAAGGTTTGTAATACGCTAAACGATTCCAGAAAAAGAAGAAAAAGGCTAGCTTCAAATGCCTTTTACTTTCAGTATATGGTGTTAAGTAAATTGCCATTGCTGCAGCAGAGCGACCTTGGTCCATTTGCAAACCCCTAAGAATCAGAGATTTCAGTTTCAATGGAGAGCAACCTTTTATGCAGCAGTTTTAAAGCCTACTGGGTTTGTATTTCCAAGTGATCCTTCACAGATAGTTGCCCATGGACCTCTGTGGGTTATATAGATTGGAGAGTGATACTCTCCAGAACTCTCTGATCATTAGCTTGAGCCAAATAGGTGAAATTTGCCTATGAATTTAGAGGACAGAGAAGGGAATTAGAAGAGGTTGGTACTGTGTGGTGATGGACTGTTTTGCTATTAAAAAGGCTAAATAAGGAGCACAGTAAGCTTCCTGTTTTGCTGCCTGTTGTTAAACTATTCTGTTTATATTCATATCTGAAATGACTTGGAAAAAGTACAGGGTAAAACATATATGAAGAAAAAAGCGAAGAAATGCGAGAAATTATTCTGCCTGCCTTATTAGTTTTAACCTCCTGTCTCAATTAGAATGTAATTTAATTAAAATATTTAACTCCATATCACTTATTTAGTTTCAAAAACTGCTATTTTAACAAAACAATTGAACTTTGTTGTAAAGTTATAAATGTTGTTTTCCAAATAACATGACAATTGCCCTGTTAGGTAATTTTGTAATACTAACAACGGAAATGCTGAGAAACTAGTCTCTGCTACCAGTGGCTCTGAAAGAGGATGTCAGACTTGCAAGCACATGCATAGTCATCGTTAAAAACTTCACCGACATGAGGAATGACAAGAGTGCACAAATTATAGCAGCATTACAAGCCTCTTGGCAGCATTGTTTCTTGCAAATACGTAATAAGAAAAAGCTGTGCTAATTCCAGTTAAAGTGTTAAAAATTTGTGGCTTAGACATGGTTACCTGACAGTTGCTGGTCATAATTTTAATTTAATCTATTAAAGTAGAAAGACTAGTGAACTTGTATTTAGTCCCCTTGTGATGAAACTGATAAAGGAATAAGGAATACAGGGACCCTGGAAAGTTTGAAGGCGTAAGTCAAGGAGTGAAGCCTGCCCAACTGCATGGTTAGAACCTTCACCTTAGTGAAGATGTTGGCTGCATTTGAGCCTTGAAAGTTTGCCTATCAGTTTTAAGCCTGAGGTAATGTCCTTGCAGTGGACTCTACTGATTTGTTTTCAACATAATGAGAATTAAGTGTGAAAACTATTATTTGTAAAAAGGGGAATTAAAGTTTAGAACCCTAATTGACAAACAGAGAGCTTCAACTTTGGCGCACTGTCAAAGTGCAGAAGTAAATGTTAGCAAGAATGAATAAAATTCATATGAGGGAGAGTAAAAGAGGCATCACACATTTAAAGAAAAATACGTAGTCACTGTGAGGTCTGCAAAGCTTTCAGGTATGAAAGATGTACTAAGGACACTTTCTACACACACAATTCTACATGTGTTTTTGTATTTGGCTGGAGGTGTCAAATTAGTACAAGTGTATTGTGAAATTTCACCTGTTTTAAAGAATAAAATAGTCCTGCATAGTGAGTATCATCTCTGGAACTTAATGTCATTGCAAAAACTATGTGCCAACTGCATACCTGGCATAAGCTCACGCAGTATATGAAAGTAAATGAAGCTCCATCTGTTTACCTCACTGGTGAATATGGCAGAGTAAGACAGAGCTGAAAGCCTCACAGTCATTCTGTTCTGGGCTAATGGAGCTGGGGTGTAGTGACCATAGCTTTTTACCTCCAGGAAGCATTAAGAATTGCTAAATAAATACAGATGGATACAGGTCATTTTGTTAACCATGTTTTCCCTGCCTCCAGAAAATTAAGGTCATGTCCTTACTAGGTATAGTCAAACCAAATTGAACAAACTAAATGGCAGACTTCAGATAAGTATAAACTGAGCTTCTTTTAGACTTGCAGAAATTCTATTGAATTATCAGTGAATTTTCCTCCACTGGTTTTCACTCCATTTCTGGATTCCTGCTAGTGTCTTCTACAGAAGGCACAACCTGTTAGGGGAACAAATAGATGAGAAGGAAAGGCTGCGCACAAGGCATCTGCGGCCTGCCTAGAAGCGGTAAAAGCAGGAGGACTGACATACTAGTCTTAGCTCTGGAAATCAAGAAGCATCATATGGTCATGCTACAAGTACTTGTGAAACAGAACTCAGATCCAATTTTTCTGTTGATTTCTGCATTTTTGTGTTTTCTGGCATAGAGTTTGTGCCAGAAAAGAAAGCACAAACCAAACCCAGAACTTATTGCCACTTTCTGTTTGGAGCATTTTCTGTTCATTGAGGTGGGATTTTGCTGGCATTCTCTGTGTGTTCAGGTTCTCTTGATGGCTTTATACCTTGGCTTCTGTTTCATGTAGGACTCCTGTATGAAATTGAGAATAACAGTATAAAAACTCCTGGTAAAATACTGTCCAGACTACTGATTTGTTTCCATAAAAATTTTGAAATCTCTTAAGCTGTGGTTATCTAGAGAGTGCTCAGAAATGAGCAGGTAAGAATTGTGCTGGTTAAATTTATGTGCAGAGGTCGATGATGTTTCTTCTGCTTTGTGTACAGAGTGAGTAAGGGAAGGATTTTAACTTTTTTTCTGGTGTGTTGTTTCTTTGTTTGGTTTTTGTTTCTTTGTTCGTTTGTCATACTTTTCAGACCGTGGAAAACTGTGTGTGCATTTTGAGGAACCTCTCATACAGGTTAGCTGCAGAAACATCTCAGGGACAGCAGATGGGAACAGATGAGCTTGATGGATTACTCTGTGGTGATGCCAATGGAAAAGACGCAGAGAGTTCAGGGTGCTGGGGAAAGAAGAAGAAGAAAAAGAAATCACAAGATCAGGTAACGGAAGTTGCTTGCAGCTGTGTTGCAAGTACTTGAAGTGCCCATCATTTGAAATAAATATATAATTAATGCACTCTGTTAGAAATAAAGTGCATGATGCATAATATACAAAACTCTTGACTTTGTTAATTAGTTGAGAGCTTAAAACAGAAATTGCTATGGAATAATGGAGTATGCTTGCCTGAGAAAGTTGCACATTACATGGTGGCACCAGGAAACTGTTGTCATGGGTACGCTGCCGTAAATACTATAAAATGCTCAGTCTGTAAAAGGAAGCTGTTTATCATGAGCAGTGTAAGTCTTAACATTGAAATGTAATCTGCATATACTTTACACTGTGCTTCCACACAGTGTGTGGAGAGAGGCCTTGGTACAAGCAAACATCAGGCTTATATTCGCATGCTTACTTCAAAGTTAGTTTCGTACTATCTCTCTATATGTTGGAAGAAAACTCTACAGGATTGAATCAAGCAATGTGAGTAAATGTTTAGATAGAATATGCATGCTTTTTTGTGTCATTATCAAAAAAAGATTGAGTAGTAAAGTCTTGATTGTTTCCTCAAATTATTAAAGGTGCTGCAGATTTTATTTTAGGTGGGTTGATTTTCAAGGTGTATTTATCTCCTTGTTTTTCCATTAATGACTTAAAATTTGGGGATGATGATGATGATATTGCAGAGAAAGACATTTTCCTATCAATGCACACACTAAATAGCAATAGGAATGGCTGCTGATTTAAGAACTTTTTCAAACAACCTGTGCTGGCAGCAGGTAGTTCTCCATCTCTTCCTAGACTTACTGTTTTCCATTGCAGTTTATTTCTGTTTCAGATTACTCAAAGAAAATACTCATTTGAATAAGCAGTTAGGTGCACTGGGCATGTGAATAGATGGTGTAAACCAGTATTGAAAATATCCCTTAGTTCATAAAGGCAAATTGTGGTAATGTGGAAAAGTTATAGAACACTAATGAGCTAAGATTCAAGTGCTGGAAAAGACAGCACTTGTGACTAGTAAGACTCATTTTCACCTACTTTTCTAGTTAAACACTGTAGTCATTGGAAAAGCTAGATTTATTATGGCCTTATGTTGGTATTCCTGTATTGGACTACAGGGAGATAAAAGGTGACAAAGCAAATTAATCTTACTCCATAAAGCCGTCATCATTCCTGTTCCCAAATTAACAGTTCCCACACACTACACTTGCAGTTGCTCAAAGTACAGGAACAAAAATAGCATGTCTGGGTATGAATGGGTCATACTGCAACTCTCAGTGCTGTTTGCCAACACATGCACACGTGTGGATACACGCTATATGAAGTCTTTTTTAATTCTTCCTTTTATATTCCTGTTGTGATTTCTGGATATCAGGTTCAGACTTCTAACTGTGTACTGCTGACTGTTGAAATGTTCCTGCTGAACATCTCTGAACTTTAAAGATCCCCTATAAAGGATCTTTTTCCTCCTTCAGGCCGAAGAACTAATGTCTTCTCGCTGATTTCCTTTTGCTTCTGCCTGTTCCTAGATATCTTTTGTATCTTTCTGTGGGTGTTCATTATCAACATAGTAAAGGTATCTTCAGATATGCTTGTATTTGCCTAATGGAAGGGTTTAATATAATTTTTAAAATCCAAAAAAAGGTAAAACTATGCACATACTTTCAGGTTTCTGTTCAGTGGCTTTTTCTGTGGCAAGGAAATAAATTTACTCTTACCAGAACTAATTTTGTTATACACAGGACCACTTTACCTTACAGAAATTAAAAATATTTCTTTTTTTCTTTCATCCAGTTTCCTTTAAATCTGGACAGCCTACCCCATCATTCCATATACCAGTTCTCACCTGTAACTATTACTCAGTTCAGGAGTTTCAGGCATCCTTGTGAACTTTCTTCAGAATGCAATATTCTCACCCCATGATACTTGACTATTGTTGGCCACACTAAGTATTTTAACGTACGTTACCAGATTAACTAGCATGCTACTAAAACCAAATGTGACTGAGGTCTGCCAGCAAGATCACCATGCTGGAAACAGCTCTCCCAAGTTACCCTCATAAATGGAAACAAAAAATAGAATGTTCTTTCTGCTGCTTTTGCTCTGTCATCTTGAGTTTTTCAGGACCCAAGTAGATTCATGCTACTGAAGAGCTGTGTCACAGTCAGCAGTACTCTGGTTACTGTTTCTGCGTGTGTCAAGATAAATCAGTATTCAGGAAGGGTTTGGAGGATTAGGGTTTTTTTTTCCCAGGCAGAAGTCTCTAACAGCAGGATCATCTTATGTTCCTTAGGTTAGTTAGAATTCACCCATCTAAATTAACCTCATTTACACTTTCCACCAGAGGACATTTTCGCGTGTCCTTCCCCTGTTTGTTGTCTCCCTGTGTGCTGACTGCTGCCCTGTCTATTGCACATGTGCATATTATTTTACAGTAGGATTCTTAATTTTTTCCAGGTAATACCTTTGATAATCTCTCTTCAATTGCAGTACTTAAGCTGTTACATACTGCTTGTTCTGTCCCTCAGGACTGATCTTATGCTCTCCTTGGGATGCTATTTTTAGAGTGCTCATTCCTGTAAGTGCCTCAGCAGTGAAGCTTTTACACTGTGAAATACCCTACAGGTCTGAAAATCTTACTGATGTTGAACAGTGTTTTACACGTAAATAACAAAGGCATGCCTATGGAACCTTAATAGGATGCAATAATTTACAATGTCTGAAACACAAAGTGCTTCACACCACCATGGATTGAACCTGTGAAAGAAAACCTCAAAGAAGTGGAGACAAGAAAGATATAAAAGTAGTCAGATACCCTGATGCCTCATGAAGAGGAAGCAATGAGGTTTAGGCAGCGTTTAATACATCATTCATGCTAAGTCAATGCAAACGTTAGTTACTTGCTAGAGAAGATCTAAGGAAATATAAAATTAAAAATTTGAAAAAATAATTAAAAAAACCATTCTTTGAGCTGATTATTATTGTTACTTACAGATACACAAGGTGGAGTTCAGCCCAGTATTGAAACTCCTGTCATTCACCTCTGTGATTGCTTTAGGACTTGAAGTGCCTTTACTGTCAGACAACACACAGGGCACAGACAATTCTGTTAAGAGCCATGACACCTCAGTATAGGGAAGCATTTGCCAGTTGTGCAGCCTGCTACATTTTATGTCCCCAGAAAATACGTGCTGAGAGTATAGGTATCATTCTTTTTTTGGCAGTGCACAGTATTTTTGTATAGGAATATGGACAGTTTCAGTCTTCCTCAGAAGATAAGGCTTACAATATAGGGTGGGGTAAAAATACTCAGTTTTTTCTGAATGCATTTTTGAAATTTTCCTTTTACAGTGTAATTCTTCAGTCCTTCACTTAGTTTCTCAACTGTGTATATTTTGAAATCCTTCTTAAGTGACCAATATGGGGTGGTTCTTAAGTTTTAAATTAAAGTGTAGTAGCAAAACTACTGTAACTGGAGAATAGTACCAGATGTATCATTTTAGATGGTGGATGAGGACAAAGTTACAATTTTCTTTACTGAGAAAAAAAGTCTCATACAGTTAGGGAGTTTGTTTCTTAAACCATTAAGAAGGAGAAACTTTCTGTGACTTTTAAGTCACATTCTCATTGGTTTGCTCTGTAAAGAAAGAAGAAGTTCGTTTATTTGGTTTATGACTTAGGGAAAAAACTATCCTTATTTCTCTAGATTATATTTCAGTTGTAGTCATACATGAGTTACTTGAAGAAAAGAACAGGACTGAGTGGTAATACAAAATGTGATTTTCCTTGAAAGGCCTTTCAAGAACAAATTGGGATATATTTTGTCACTTATGACATTAGTTGTCTAAATGGCAACTTCTCTACACCTTGAAATCTGAGAATTTACTTGGTTCAGGTCATAGTTTAATGACAACTTCCAAATGACTTTACCTAAGGAGTTCCCTTAGGATCACAAGAAACAAGTGTTTATGTTTCGAAATAAAGTTGGGTGGTATTAAAAGAGCCACAATCATGCATCTCTTGATGATTTACCAGAGCTCAGACAGGTTCCTGAGGTGTATGCTTTGTCATTAAGTTTTAATAACCCGAAGCTTCTAAAGATTTGCAATAAAAGCCAAGTTTAATATTGTTATTATATGTGGGAAAACAAACCAAAACTTCCATAAAGGCCATGGGAAAAACAGGTGTGGCTCACCTGCTTTTATTTCTTTCTCGGATCCCAAGAACTGTAATTCCCTGCTGTCACTGTTGTTTGTTATGTTCTCTTTGCTGCTTACCTGTGATCAGTTCATACCACAGAGTTGTCCAGCTGCAGAAGCCCTCATCTCTGACTAGGACATTGCAGATACAGACCTCTCTGCCTTGGATCATGTCACCCTTCAGAAGGGAACTAATTTTTCCACTGCAGCAAATTTTGTCCCTGCTGTTGGCAGCCAGCAGGTTTATTCTTCCAGCTGTACAAGAAACAAGGATTATGTTCAAAAAAGCAGTTAGGGAAAATAAGGTCCATGGTCCAACTTAGTAAAAGAACCAGGAAGAGGTCATTAATCATTACTCGATTTCTTGTTATGCAGCCTATTATATACACATGTGGCACTATTTCATTTCTTCACTTATAAGAAACAGGCTGACTTTTTGACTTCACACTCCTCTTGAGTTCCCCATCTGTGATAATTCTTGTCATCCCAGAATCTAGCCCAAATTACGATTTTTGATTGGAAGTGACACTTTTGAAATGAGCCTGACCTCTTTTACCTTCTGTGAGGAGCCTTAAGGTGTAACAGCACCATTATATACCATTATGAATTCACTGGCACATCCCTTTACCATGCTTGCTAAATGTGCTGTAAATTCTTCTATCCAGGTGAAATAGCAGGTTTAAGATAATATTTCAAAAGGAATAAAAAAAATAGAGCTGTCAGGCCTTTTTATGTGGTGAGACCACTATTTTATCAATTACATTTCATCACTCTACTGAGCCATACCAAACTAATGAACACAG